AAGGATGATAATTTGACCAATAAAACTTCTAATGTTGTGTATATTTCAAAATCTATGTTAATATGTTTATTTTGCTTATCAAAATAATTCATGATTACTTACGATCGAGAATCCGTTGCATTTTTCTATAGTTATTTTATTTTTTTGTTTGTATAAATTTTTTAATCATACCACCCGTGGATTCTACGAGTTATAACCTAATGTGTGTGTATATATATATATATATATATGTTTTTTTTAAATAGAGTCGTTACCCATCTTTCTTTGTTCTTACATTTCTTTCTCTATCCAAATTCACATTTCTTTCTTTGCCATGCGCATCAAGACTTTATGGATTGGTTTAACTTTCAATTATTAGTTTTTTTTTATTAGGGTTAACAACATAGACGGGTAACGAAATTTGGTCTTTATCCATATTTAGGTAATCATATTTTTTTCCGTATACATTTGACCATTTAAGCTTGTTTGACATGTTTAAAATAGGGTAATATGACTGATAATTGCCGATGATATTACCCTATTATGAACATGTTCAACAAGTATATCGGTCAAGTATGTACGAAATAAACATAGTTAACTAAATACGTACAAAAACCAAAGTTTATTACCCGTTTTAGTAATATTGAGTTCTTTATGCTAAATGCAAGTAGTCATAAGACACACTGATGTGCCATGAAATCGGGCTATCGGGTCGTGGTGTCGGATCTAGATTGTTGATCTTAAGTATGTGTCGTTAGTGAGTTCTCGACTTGATTCCTAGCTACATTAACTGGTTAGGCCCAAGCGTAACCTAATCGTCCATTAACGCATACCTATAAATAGAAGACCCTCTCCGTGAGGAGGATATCTCATTCCTAGAGATGAGCCTACACTATATACATACACTTTCCCTATTCAGATAGTTCTCCATTTAGAAGAAACCATCTCCTCTTACATATCGATGTAACTTGATTTTCAGAGCCTGCTCACATGACACAATCCTTGAGACGATTCTAACATTTTTGTTCTTTAATGGCATCTAGGAATCAAATTAAGAACTCGTTAATGTTACCTACTCTAGTTATGATACCAATACCCGATAGGCTGATTCAGTTCGTCTTATGTGTATTTGCAATTAGTATAAAGAATCTAATATCAACAAAACATGTATGAAACTTTGATTTTTATCCACATTTAGATAACTATGTTTTTTCTTATATATTTGACCAATAAACTTATTTGACATGTTTATAATAGGATATTATTATGGGTAATTACAAGTTATATTATCCTATTTTGAAAAATCAAACAAATTTAATGATCATATATGTAGGAAAAAAACAATTACCTAAATATAGATAAATACCAAAATTTATTAACCTTATTAAATCATAAACCTTTTTCGATTATAATTATTAATAAAATAGACCCATTATCATTTTGCACTTTTATTATTCTTATTATTATATTAATTAATAAAATCGACCCATTTTATCATTTTGCCAGCTCAAGTGACGCATAGGTGGAGGCACCCCTCCTATTATTATATCTAGTGAAATTGAAAAAGAACCCATAGAAACTAATTAAAAGTTCCCTAATTTTATGTACATGGTTTTGGCGATTTTATGTACATGGTTTTGGCGGTTTTCGTGAGACAGATTGCTAACTCTTTAGTTATTAGACGGAGGGTGTGGGAGGGAAGCTTTCCTCACTTTTTGTGGGTCATACCATCATTTCCCTCACTTCTCTTTCCATCACCTAAAACCAAAGGAATGGGTGCGAAGCCCTTCCCTTATTTTTTTTTATTAAATAAAATTAATTTTTTTTATGATTTATAATTTTTAAATTAATACTAAACATAAAATTTAATTAAAAATAAAAAGCATTTCATTAATTAAAATAAAAATTACATTAAACCTAATATTTAAATAAGTAGAAATATAAAAAAACGCAAAAAAAAAACAACCCACAACATAGAAAACATAATTAATATCCTAATTTTATTTAAACTAAAATACGTCACTCGGAATCATCGTCTTCGTCGTCGCCATCATCGTCTTCGTCATCGCCTTGATCGTCTTCATCATTCTCTCCAGTGTCACTCTCGTCGTCGGAATCTTCACTCTCGACGAACATATCAGAATCCTCGTCTGATTCGTCAAACAA